CCCCCCCTTTTCTATCTCTTAGCTCTTAAACATTTCATCACATTATATCACTTACATTTTTTTGTTCTTTTCAAACGGCGCTACAGACAGCTACAGTCTGCAGCAAGAACTATGACGTAGTATTTCTTTTACAACTTAACTATTCACAACACCCTAGAACCACTTTTACCAAATATATTGTACTTAAAGTGTTTAAAACTGTATATTCAGATAAAATGAACGATCTATCTGTCAGAGACTCTTTTTGACAACATACATGAACAGGCACTAACTGATAACAACAAAAAAAAATGTACAAACTCTTCTTTCAGGTTTTCTTTTAGGGACAGTCTTTGAGAAACGCTTTGTTGAAAAACAAGGCAGTGATATGAACTGAGGGAGCCTCGTGCATTAATACCTTCCTCCCGTGTTGAGTTGTGGTTTTAGGAGGAAGCTGACGGTGCCCAACTGTTCAGGACTGTTATCAGGCCAGGAATATTCAGCTCACTTATTGGTCTGCGTGACTCCGGAATGATGCAGGTTTTTGCTCTATATCCCTAAAACACRGCTCTTTTCATTTATCAAACAAGTTATCAAAACATCAACTTTGGGGTTAATCATGGAGGTAAAATATAAAATTGGCCTACAAAAAAAAACATCCATGCTGTTTTTTTAATTACAGAATTTGACTGTATTTTCTGGAGGATCTCACAGTCAAAACTCAAGTAGGCAAATAATGCCAAATAAAACATGCCAGGGGTGACCCCCCTTCCCCACACCCCATCTTCTTCTGGAAAATGAATATTCAAGACATTTTTTTTTGGAAAACAAAAGTGTGAAGGGTCAGAGCTTCAAATAATCATCTCTGCCACACTTCCTGTATTCGATTCTGTGCCATGTAGAGTTCAGAACATTGAACCTAACGCTCCAGTTTAAATAAAACTTTAATCTGTAAAGACTCTTTCCTCCTCCGCTGCCATGTGGTCAGAGCTCAGAGCTGGTGAAAGATCTAGAGACATCCTCAGTTCACGGTCTTGCAAATCCTCCACGCTGCTGTCCTCCACGTTCTCTTCGAACTCCCCCTCCTGTTCGTCTTTGTCCTCTTCTGTCTTCTCCTTTACAGACACTTCGTCTCTTACATTCTTTGATACCGAGGACATGGACTCYGGGTTGCGAGGAGCGTTGTGCAGGTGTTCTGCTGTATGTTCAGGGTGCCCATTAAGGGTCTGGACCTGAGCTGAGGGCCACTCCCTCAGAGGGATCTGGGGTTCTCCGTCACTCACACGCCTCCATATTCTCAGAGGGTCAAGGTCCAAGTTGTCCATCGGTGGCCTGGCGGCCCTTTGGGCTCCATTGTCATTCATTAAAGTTGAGGAGCTCCTCTTGCACCTGGACTTACTGGTGTGGTTGACTTGTACATGCATGGCCATCAGCTCGGTTGATGAGGTGTGGAAAGGGCAGAACAAACACTGGCTAAGTTTGACCCCCGTCAAACCATCGCTTCCACCATCTCCACCATAAACAACTCCTCCGTCTCCAGCGCTCATGCTTCCATTCTCTTCCATCTCTCCAAGGCCTGGTGAGGTGCGACGGGAAAGATCCAAAGGTTCAAACCCACCATCCTGAGTGGATGGAACTGTTCCGTCTTTGTCACTAGGTGGCTGAACCATCCGGCTTGTAGTTAGGGGTTTACGCCGAGACACTTTGGGGGTCTTTGGTGGAGGAGACTCCCTGATCCAGCCTCTTCCTTCCATTCCACCTTGGTAAAGAGCCCCCATCACCCCAGAAAGATACCTGTACTGGGTCTCCAAGTCGACATCCCTTAGAGCTGCCAAAGCCTTACGATGCTCATGCTGGTCTGGAAGTCCCAGGAGCCAAGACTGCTGGCTGGGCCGCGACGCGGGAGTGTCGGCCGAGGATCGGCTGACCGGGCAGTGATTGAGTTGTGAGCGACGCTGCTTGGGCAATCCAGAAGTCCCGGACGTTAGAGTGTTGACAGTGGAAGAGAAACCAGAGGAGTTGGAGGAGGCCGATAAGGCATTGCGTTGCTCCCTGTGGTGTCGCTGGAGGTGGTACTTCAGAGAACCCGACTGAGTCCCTGCATAGTCACAGTGAGGACATTTGTACGGTCTCTCACCTACAGAGAGAAAAATAAACAAAGTCAGATTTGGTAAAGTCAGCTAGAAATGTGTAGCATTTGTTCAACATGTGAAAAAATGGACTGGAAATTTAAAAGTTTTATTAATTTTCAACTGTGTTGTTTGTTTTCATAGTTAAGTTCCTCAAAGCAGAAACAAAACTTTGGAAATGCATTGAATTGTTTAAGAAATGTCTTTAAAAGTTCATGATTTATGGATGAAAACTCCTGTTCAAAGTTGAATTTATTGAAGGCTTTCAGTGTCTACAAAGCAACCTGAAACACCACAGGATTTAATAAGCAGCAGCAACAAAATGTACTTAGCCAATGAAAAAAAGAGTCAATTGTAGCAACATGTCAGCTTTGTTGTTAATTTTGGGGGAAGAAATCTAAGAGAAAAAAAAGACCCTGTGGGAGGTTTATTGGGTCAGAACATTAGTTTATGTTGCCTGAGGTGCTAACAGTTTTGGAAGATGTTTTTAAAGTTAATTTTTAATCTAAATCGTGTTTTTAAATTCTCCTTTTGTATTTTTGTACATTAGTTTAAAAATGGCAGAGGCAGTTGGAAAAAAAAAAAGAATACATCCAATTATCTGGAGCACAGCGTCTAGGGATTACATGTTGCCAGGTTGGAAGTAGTTGTGATCACAAGTTCACAAACAACTCATCATCAGCAAATATGATAATTTAATTTAAAGTTTTTATACATTTTTTGGCCTTTTAACAGAGTGGAAGGGTTATACAGCATAGAATTTCAGGGATTTTTAAAACAACCAAGATGAACAGATTTGAGTTTATTGTGGTCCCATTAATGGAATTGTAAAAACTCAGATAGATAGATAGATAGATAGATAGATAGA